CCCAAAAAAAACCAAAAAAAACCAAACAAAAACAAAACAGTGACAGAGTCAGAATACAACCTGACACCCTGTCAGTCAGGGTGTTGGTAGCAGTCCCATTAAATGGTGGCTGCAGTCCTCCTGGATGACAGATGTGGTTCTATTGAAGCAGTGTTTCTGTAGAAGGGTGCAGTTTTCCTCCTGAAGGTCCAGTGATGATGTGGAAAGGTTTGGTTTCCCTCTGGAATCCAGTGGAAAAAGGCTGCCCTGATGTTCCAAATCTCAGTTTTTATCTAGGTAGGAAAGGCTTGGCTCCTCCCTCTTGCTGGAGCATCTCCCAGTGGAATGATGTAATTTTATCAGTCAGTGGGACCCAGTGGCCCATTAACAGAAGATATCTCCCTGGAGGTAGAATGGGTTGTGGAAGAGATAAAGAGCACTGCCCCACCTGGTTTTAAGAGACGGTGATAGAAGACATACTTGTGGTCACATTCTGCTTTGCAAGCCAAGACAGAGAGGGATGAGAACAGAACTGAGATACCATGGTATGAATCCAAGCATGAATTTGAGATAATGTCCTGAGTTGAGCTGGAACTGTTAAGCTGACCAGAATGGAGTCAGGTTACAAAGACAGAGAGCACAGCCGAACAGGAAGTTTTTATACTTTTAAGTGTAATGGTCTGTCTTCCTTCTCTCTCTCTGTAGATCTGAACTTCTGATAATCAGGCCATTAATGGTTGTTTCATGTAGATTTTCTCCTCACTGAATGCAGTTTCTAGTTCAGCAGCTGATGGATTAGCTTTAGTGTAAGATGTGCAGAGCTTAGTCCACAACCTACAGTTGCACAAAGTGCAATGGATTTCGATTGAAGCAGAAACAAATCTCAAATTCAATTGGTGTTATTAATTGGATCAATATTCGCTTACTTTGCTGATTAGACTATTTATATACGGGAAGGAGGTGTTACATAACCTACCTCTCATTTTAGAACTATATAACTGAGAGGAGCAGCTATTGCTGAATGCAAGAGGGCAATCTTATTTTTATTTAAATATGCCTGGAAAAGTTTAGAAGTTTATGGTTTGTTACTATTTTTTCCTAAAGATATGTTTTGTTCTTGATTGTTACTGAAATAAAACCAAATTGTGACTTTCCTGCCATAAAGATACTTTTTTATAGAGCTATGAACTCAGTGGAGAGATAATCAGCCTGAAATTTTAAGAAGTAAAGGGCTTAATTTAAATAAACTTCCGAACTTTGTGGTCTTTTACTTCCCGAGAGAAACTGAGATGAAACATCAACCTATTTAGTTCAGGCAAAACTAGGAAGAATAAAAATGGAGGACTGTCTAAAGGAAATTGCAAGGCATAGTTACTAGAATGTATGTCCATTTCGTTCTGTCATGTACAAATGCAAAGGGTACAATTTTGCTTCACTTAAATCTTGGGGTTTAATTCTTAAGTTTCTAGGCAAGGAAACTTGTATCAAGAGATTTTTGACTTAAAATCTACCTGAGGTAGATGTTCCTTGGCACCTTTGACATTTGACAGCAGCAAAATAGATATTTCTTTAATGAAAAATGCCATTTTCTTTTCTTTTAAAAGATTAATAAGTTCTTCATACAGAGTCCTTGAATTGTCTTCTCCTTTGGCCTTCTTGAAACCTAAGAATCATTTAACTACAAAATTTAACATTAGGGAATATGAGAAATATGGAAAAGTTTAAAGGAAACTATTATGATAATTTTTTTGCTGTTTTCTTTGTTGATATTGGTCCTCCTATGATCTATCAAGTAACATTAGTAATAGTTAAAATGCAGAACAATAGTTTTAAAAAAACTAAGTAGCCTTACAGCTCTTAATATTCCAGCTGTCTTTTCTCCTTTGTCTACTTCCACAATTTTCAGTACATTAAAAATTTGGTATTCTATGGAAAATATCCGAAAACCTTTTGAGATTCTATCTCCAGATATGGAAAATATGTTTCCTACAAGATAATAAATGCTGTTCCAAGCAATTTTGTCTTCATTATTGAATTTTGAAGCTCCTAAAAAGCTTTGTTCAGAATATATTTTCAGTTGGATTCTCTTCTCTTCCTTTCTGGATTATAGATCTTGGTTCTGAATCACCTTCCCTAGTGGGCAAGAGATCATCCCACTGTAGAAAAGCATTCTATGGCCTCCGTGTCTTTCTCTGGTCATAAATATATCTGGCAAACAAAGCAGAAGGTAGTTCCACCTTTCAACGGAGCTTTTTTTGCTTGTATCAGGAAAACCTGATGCATCAGGGAAACCTGACCATATAACATAATACTTAAGCTCCTCTTTTACCTCTCTGAAACAATGTACATCGTTTGGTACCTAAACTAGCTCACAGGTTGAATGGAGGCTTGCAGAACCTCTGAAATACCTTTGAAATAAGTGTTTATTACTTAACATAGTAAATATATGTAAACAAAACAAAATTTCTATGCTAATTTTTGTGAAAAAATTCACAAAAATGTTCTTCCTTGTTACAGAATGTTGTAATGGCAAGTTGCCTTGGCTACTGGACAGCAAGGCTTTAGCCCTGTGTGAAATTTCACTTAAAGCCATGCTTGTTTGAGAAGAGTATATGTAAGGTAAAGATGAAACACCTAAATATCAATAGTTTAATATTAAATGGAGACTTGGAAAAGTAATAACTGTCAGAATAACTACAGTTCTAAAAATAAATTTTCTGGAATGTTCCCTTTTTTAAAAAAGAAGTAGTAAGTGTCTGCCAGAATTTAAACATTGGTGTTTGAGTAAGTATGGTACTATGGAGAGCATTCACATGAATAATTACCAAAAAGAGCTGTGCAATAGGAAGTGGAAGGTGATGGTTTTATTAGAAATGGGTGTCTTTAACACGGGACTCCCATATCACCTCATTGTCAATCTCTGCAAATTTTCAAGTGTATAATAAAATCAAGAGATGTAAAACTAAACGCTAATTGAAATCTTGCATCTAACATTATAATTTTATTTGTTTTCTATCAAGTAGCTGGCAACAGAACATTTCTAAATGCAAATGTGTGAGTCAAATGTGTGCTTGCAAACTTGTGATTAGTAAATAAACCCTGATTTCGTTAGTAGCTATTTTAACAAAAACGAAAGCTACAACGTAGTATATTTCAGATTTTTGAAGGCCAGGAGCAGAACACAGAGCAGCTAATTTATTGTAATGGTGGTTGATGACTTGGAGGCTGCCTCTCATAGGCAGGATGACCCACCTCCATGGCAAGATACATGTTCCAGCTGGACAGCTAAAATCAAAATGTTCTGTTGTCCTGGCTGGTTGGTAATGAGGGAGATTGTATTTTCTAGTTGTGTAGCTCTAAGAGAAATCCCTGGGCTGAGCAAATACTACACTGCTTCTGCCACTTATGTACCACATCTCTGTTTTATCACATTTCATTTCCCAAAAGCAAGCCTTTCAGCAGCGGGAAGAGTGAGTTTTTCAGGAAGCTGGGGGTGAGTGAGGGGTGGGTTGGAGGAATCCAGAACACTTCACACCCTACAGAGAAGAGAAGAGAATGGTGAGTGTTATGGAAAACCACAGATTAAATGTTTTTTATGGTGGAAGGGGGCTTTAGTAGAGAATAACACCTGTTTAGCAGAAAGAAACTGAAGTTTACAGGAAGGAGTGAGTCATGCTAACCAGTTTGATGGTAACACATGCATGCTACTATTTCTATGTTTAAAATACACTTTTGATATATTAGAAATTATTACAGTTTCAAACCCCAAAGTAAAGAGTTGCAATGTTAAAATTAGTATAAACACAGAAAATTTGTGGTAATCCTTCCTGTCTCAGGTTTGATCTTCCTGTTCCAGGCTGTTTTAGTACTCTGCCGTATCAAGTTACAGGGCTGAGCTCAAGAAAACATGAGAGTACAATGGTAAACTAGTATTTTCTTCTGTAACTGTTGTGTTTCTTTTTAGGCAATAGTAAAGGTTTGTAATGTGATTGTCAGGCAGTAACTCATTCTTACTTGCTTTTTTTCAGCCATCGGACGCTTTGATATTGGGAAAGATCAAAAATGTGGACTGTGTGCTCTTAGCAAGGTAAATGAGCATTTTAAGGGGATTTGTATTATGCATCCTAAAGTTTTCTCCGAATTTTTTCTCTTTTTATTAAAATGGAATTTCTGCTCTGACAACATCTTACTCTGTGTGGTTGCTAGCAGAGTCCAGCACAAGTTTGAAGTTTCTTATAAGCAAATTTGATGCTGCAAGGACTGAGAGTATTAAGAATGCTGTCTAGGTTAGATAAAAAATCCAGTGGGAGGTACTACCCTCGTAAGAATGGCAGCCTTCAAGGCCACCTGCACTGGTTGTAGGCAGGTGATGCTGATAACCTTACTAATTAATTTATCTACTCACTATGTTTGCAGATTTCCTTTGTGAAATAGAGAAAATGTCTGCTTCCAGATGAACTGTGTCTCTGGTACCACTGTAAACTCCTCCAATTCATTCTCTTAGATTATTGAGTCCTATTGCTGTTACAGTTATTGCTTAGGGACTGCAGTTCTCCCTCCCTATGTCATTTTTATTCAGTCATCTTTTACTATACTTGAAGAGACTCTGGAAGTAGGATTTGCAGATGAATGTGTGGAAATTTCACACTGGTGTAACCATGGATGTCTAGGACCAACATGGTACTGGATTAAATGTAAGAATACTAACAGAGTTCTGGGCATCTGGGCAGAATGGACAGAGCAGGTGATAATGACAGGGTCTATCAGCAAGCCAAGTCAAGGTAATTAGTCAAGCACAGGATCCATCCAGGGAATCCAGGCAGGAGCCATAGGGGGTGAGAGACGAAGCTGTAGCATGTGTCTAAAGCTCGTCCAGTTCTGGAGACAAGCTACGGCATAGGTCTGAGGGCTGTGGGGGAGACCAGGTTGGGCACTGGCACACTAACATAGCTCAGGCCAGGAGTGAAGGCTGGGGCCTGAGCTTGGAGGCAGGAGCACCCAGGCTCACAGGCATCAGGAGTTTCTGTGGAAGCCCAGGGTCTGGCATTGAGTGGTGCACTCAGGGCCCTGATTCTTTTCATTCCAATGTTTTTCCATTAAAACTACAGACTGCTTAAACACCTGCAACTGCAGCTACAGTTCTGTCTGTGGTTTTACTTTTCTTATCTTTCATGGACTACGTCATGTACTTTATTACATCTCAACAACATTTTTCTCATTTTTTCAAAGGAAGTGCGAAGCCAAGTTCTCATAGCTGTACTATTTCAAACTAGACTTTGGACCACAGACGTCTGAACAACTTGGCTGTGGTTTACCTTCTCCTTGGGATTTTTGACCATTCATATAGGAAATCTTGCAAGTTTACTTTTAGGGCTAAGATACCTGCAAATTTATGTTTGTGTCTTGGCTTCTGAATCAGATTGGAAAAAAAAAAGGCATGTATAGTCTATAAGAAGATTATGACAGCAACTGCAATAAAGCAATAAATCTGTGTGCCTAATAGCTTATCAGAAATGCCAATGACAACATGTGAATCCTGACTGACAGTGCTTGATCATGTTGTGTGCAGTTCCTGAACGATCAAATACTCAGGACTTTTTGGCCTGTGAAAAAAATCAGTTGAGAAATTTAGTTCCATCTTTAATTCCTTCTTCTTTACTTCCTTCTTTCTTCTTTAGTTCCTTCTTTTACATGGTTGAATATAATTTTCTAATGTGTTTAATCATGTAAGTGATGTGCTTCTGTAGCAAAGACACAGATAGCACAAAAGGCCATGCTTATAAGACCAAGTATTTCCTGTGTTGGTGAAAAAGAATACTGCAGCAGGGTGAAGTCCTTCTTTTAATTATGAAAGCTGTCAGATCATTTAAAGATCAAAGTCAAAAATGTGATGATTCTACTATTTTATTTGGAAAGATGACAGATTAGAACACAGTAGTCTGTGATGTGCCACTCTGTGTGGGAGAAAAAAAGCAACACTTCTGGGCAGAAAATTCTGGAGATGTATATAAATCTTAAGAGCTCCCCTAAGTGTGTGGAAAAGAGGTTTCAGAATCTATGGAACTGTCTTAGAAGATTCAGAGAAAAATGTTTATTTTAATCTTGAAGTTCTGAAGTATATTTGAATTGTGTTTTTAAGATTCTTTTCATTACAGTCTTGAGCTTAAAATTTTGCATTTAAAAAGAAAATTATACCACTGCTTCTTAAATTGAATTCCAAGAGAAGCTCAATACATTTAGGAAAACAAAATACAATGGAAGTGGCTGAAGTGGTCAGTTCCACTTCCAATATTGTTAGGGGAAATATGTTTCCTTTAATTCTCCTTATTTGGGAGAAGAAAGGCAATTTCAGTCTGATTTATTTTACTCTCTTGCTTCATATATCTTTGCAGACATGGAAGGCATCATACGATTATGCCATCAAACGTCAATTACCGTGCCAATATCTGGGCATTAAAAGAAGAAAATTGTTCCCATGTATTAGTGACTACTGCCTGTGGTTCATTAAGAGAGGAAATACAACCTGGTGATCTTGTCATAATTGACCAGTTCATTGACAGGTGAGTAAGAAGGAGGAAAAAGAAGACAAATGGAGTAAAACCATATAATAACATGTTCATGTTAAATTAAGTTTTTGTACAATAAGATTATAGCCTCAGTTCTTCAGTCAAAAAGTAGGATTCATACAAGAAAATATGATCGGAAATGGGAATTCAATTACAAGAAGTTCCTTTCTAACAGACACAGAAGTGCCAGGCTTTGAAAAATGACCATAAATGAACTAAAGTATAGCTCAGTGGGAAGACTGTTCAGAAGTAAAAGAAATCTTCTATTCTCAGATATGGGAGAGAAGCATGAATAAGAGCACAGGCCATTTCAATTTTTATGAAGAATCTGAAATGAGATGGAGAGGTACAAGAAAGCATAAGAAGGCGTCAGCTAGGAAAATACATGCCATAATAATGAGGTCCTGCACAAGGGAGATAAATGCAACACAGTAGAAAAAGAGAGGAGATTGTTTTAAAACAAGAATAGATGCTTGCATGTCTTATTTGTTAAGAATCATCAGCAAGTAAATTTGTTTCCAAAGTCTCTGTGTATCAGCCGATTCTATTCTCCTTGATCATCTCACTAGAAAAATTCAAGCAAAGCTGGAGGCAAAATACTGCTACATTTAAAGATCACCAGCAAAACCAATAATTCAAAGATCTGGTTGCACATTTTAAAGGTAAATTAAATATTTGGAGGTGTGTTATATCTTGAAGTCGTATTTGGGTATTCCACCTAATTTGAAGTATTTAAAATGGTGTATGCAGCTTCTTTGAGCATTTCTGGTGCTGCTGGTAATATTTCATTGCCAACTGAACGTGTAAACCTAGATTTGTTCCCAGCACTGCAGTGCTATTAAAATTTTTACTTAATTTTTTTTTCATGTGTAACTGAAATGCTTTTTTTCTTGTAAGAATAGGTATTAGATACAGTGTATTTAAATTACTAAGTACCCTGCAAGGGCAAGCCCCATAAAATGATTCCTGTTATGCTAGAGTTGATGGGTGAATATCAGCTATATTGCTGACAAAGGTCTTTTTTTTTTTAGTATTGATACTGATTTATGTAGGAAAGATATTAAATAGACTTGGGGACATGGTTTGGATGAACGTGAGTCAAGCACCAGTTATTTTGACTGCATTATCACCTGGCAGACTCCTGGGTAAGTGATGGGAGCCTCTGTTTGCCATTGGTGAACCACACCTGGAGTACTTTATCTAGTTCTGGGTTCCACAGTGCAGTTTTGACATGGACATACTAGAGAGAGCCCAACAGCAGACTATGAAAATGCTAAAGGACTGTAGCATCTCTCCTAAGAGGAGAGGTTGAGACAGTGAGACTGTTTAGCCTAGAGAAGACTAGACTCAAGGGGAATATGATTGATCTGTAGAAATACCTGAAGGGAGGGTGCACAGAAGAAGCCAGGATTTGTCCAGCAGTGCCTAGGATCAGAGGCAGGAACAGACTGAAACACAAGAGGTTCCCTCTGAGCACCAGTGAACATTTTTTACTGAAGGTGACTGATTACTGGCACAGGTTGCCCAGAGAGCTGGCAGAGTCTCTGTCCTTGGGGATATTCAAAGCCATCTGGATATGGACCTGGACAGCCCATTCTAGGTGGACCTCCAGGTGACCTCCAGAGGCCACTTCTGCCCTCAGCTGTTCTGTGATTTGTGTTTTCGTTTAGAGTTTATTCAGATGGTCACCAGTAGTAATGGTATAGCCTATTTACAAGCAATGTTTTGTTTGGGCAAGTAAGTTTTCGTTTTGACATAGGGAAGTGGAAACTTGGCTGTGACTGGTTTAATGGCATCAGGAAACCAAAATGCTGCTCAGAAAAGCATGTGAAAATGTTCCAATGTGGAAAATTGTATGTAATGTGAATTTAAAAGTCTTCCCCAACTTGCAGTTTTATTCAGAAAACTAATATATTGTAATAGTCCGTCTTTTTTGACAGCTGAATTTTTGTGTCAAGTCTTTTTCTCATAATGTTCTGTGCCAGGGAGTGTTAGACTGCTAGGTCTTTGGAGATAGGGTCTACATTTAACTCTTCACAGCAGTCTAAGATTGCATTATATTAGTCATTATGCCAACAGTGCTACTGATGGGAAGATATTTTCATGAGACAGAATATTTTAGTTGTCCACCAACATCCAAAAAGATGGAATTTTCATTAAATACCTTCTAACCCTAATGAAAGATCAGTGTCATATAAACAGTGTAAAATTAGTCAGTTATTTCCTTGAAAGGTATTCTGGCTTTGATATAGTGGTTAACCCATGCCAGGCAGCACATAGAAAATAAGTTGTGGTCTAGGTGGCAAGGATTTACTCAGGCCACCATTAAAATCAGTGCCTTCTGGTGTCTAGGTACCTTTTAGTATCTGGGCTCTCTCTATATTTGTTGTTAATAGGGAGAATTCCTATTCTCAATTCTCCTTACATGTCTGAAGCAAAAAGAAGGAATAATGAATAGGAATGGGTGAAGAGCTAGAAGTAAGCAGAAAACTGGAGGCAGCAGTTGTCCTTGGGCATGCACAACGTGAAATTGATGACAGAATTGCAATACAAGGAGTAGTGTAGGACTTCTGCCTACAATGGATTTGACTTACCATGTGAAACACTGAGTAGGTGTAATTAGAATTATATAAGATTTCCAAAATTGATTCCATATATAGTCTCTGCTTTCTTTATGCTTATTATTTTGTGTATTTAAACAATAAAAGACACATTTTAGTAAATAAATACAAAAATACATACAGTGCATTCTCCTTACTTCCAGATCCAAAAATAGCCACTTGCACAGGCTGCAAAACTTGTTCTCTTCTTTAAACAGGTACCTCAAAAATCTAGGATAATTTTTTCTGCCTTTAACTCTTGTTAGTCAGTTGCAGTACTGTTAGTCAGTTGACTACATCAGACTATTTGGGGGCTTTTGAATACTTTCTGTTTGGTTTGCTGCTGAAGTTTGCTAGGAAAAGGAGAACAAAACAGTTAACTTTCTTGAATGACTGTTAGGGGTTGGTTTTTCCTTTCCTCTTTGTCTGTGGAATTTTTTCCTGTTGACATGCTAAGAAGCACTGATAGCTAGGTCCTAGAGATAGTGAGAGGGAAAACCTCCCTGTTTTTCTGGGAATTTCTCTCAATGTGGGGAGGACACCACGAGATTAGAAGCAGGTAAAAGGAGAGTGGGACAGTTGCTCTTTCTTGCTTGCTCTTGACTTCGGAGGAGGAAGGTCACTGCTACCACCACCATCCCAATGCCAGGAGCTGCCTCTTCTTCTGCTGCTGGACCCTGCACCCCCTGCCCTGCCAGGGTGCCCTCCTGCTTCAGCTTGTTGTTTCCAAGCATCTTACTGGAGCACTGTGACCAACACTGTCCCCAGTGCTGGTGAGCAAAGCTTCTCTTTTCCATCCCTTCCCATCTGGGACACAGCCGCCATCACCCCAGCGCCCCCTGCAGCCACGGGGGGATCATCGCACCTGCCCTGCCCGCCGGGAGCCGCCAGCGCCCCTGCTGGCCGTGACGGGAACTGCACCGAGGGGAAAGCACCCGCGGCCGAGAGGATCGGAGCTGGGTTCCTGTTCTGGCTGGGGTTAATGCTGCAGTTGTTGTTTTTTTTGCCTTGTTACACATACTAGTAAAGAACTGTTATTCCTATCCCCATATCTTTGCCTGAGAACCACTTAATTTCAAACTTAGACTAATTCAGGGGGAGAAGGTTTACTTCCTCCATTCTGCTTTTCCCTAGCAGACACCTGTCTTTCAAACCAGGACAATGACTGAACTCAGCTGGGGAGATGCAGAAAATAGCTTCCTGTAACAACTGCCAGTTTTATTGTTTCTGTTCTCTGTGTCACAAACACAACTACAATTCCTGCAGTATTGTTACACCCTGTAAATTTTTTTGTAGAATTTTCTTTCTGTATCCCTGAAGATGCAGAGTATACTGAGACTGATTTTTATATGCTTATGCCAGTCTGAATTTACATTTTGTTCTTTCATTGCCAGTAGTTTGATAATTCAGTGCTACTGAAAGAAGGAGGAAGGTGATGATGGAGGTGGTAGAGGGCTATTTGTCACAGATGGAAATTACTTGTTTGTTCATTTATTTGAGTTGCATTTTGCTTCCTAGAATCAGTCATAGTCAGAATTGCCAGAAAATCGTGCGTTACTGTGATAAAACCAAAATGAAGGAGCAAAAACCGCCTTATTGTCAGATTAAAAGTGTGACTGTTGCTGCAGGTACAAGGGTTTAGTGCGATTTAATTTCCAGGTAGGTTTAAACTACAACAGATGCAGAAGAGAAATTGTATGAGTGTGAACATGTGCATTGCTCAAGGCAGTTATGGGTCTTACTGGTGTTACTTAGTCCCATGTGGTTTGTATGAATGCTGCTAAATGTCATAGGATTTCTTTATGAGGCCACGTAGTGATGTGGTCGTTCTCTTCGAAGTACACAGGGAATCTGAAAGTCAGATACTAATATTTATGCATATAAGATCTTTCCTTGGGCTTTTCTAATTGACAGTGCCTGACTAACAACATCTGAATACTATAATGCAGGAAATGGATTGTGGCTTTTACCATTTCTTCCAACTCTAAATAATTTATAAGCAGACAAAATAGAAAAGTGTGAAAAATTATATATATTCTATTTGCAGCTTTTCAGTATCCCATAAAGGAAAAATTAATTTTAGTGCTTCAACTGATTTTAACATCTGTATCCCATTTTCCAGATGTTTTTAATTTTACCCTCTCTTTCCTATTTTACAATCTCTTTCTTAAGACTACCCTATTGATGCATTTTTTTTGTCCAAACCTACTGTAACATATAACTTGTATTTAAAACCTTCTTCTAAATATTTCCTAGAGACTTTACTGGGGAGCTGTTATAAAAAGTATTACCAGCAGATACTTTGTATTTCAGTTGTGGATTGAATTTGGCTATTGTCTTTATTTTCTCCTGTAAAACACTGTATGTGACACTGCAGGGAAGACGGGAGTGTCTGAGAACATTGTTGTAGACAATTTGCACTATCCAATTGTGTGGATTAGCTTGAGGAAGTGCATTTGAGAGTAAAGTGTTAGTGGATAGCAGTTCCATGTGTTCCGAAATTGCATGCTGGATGGTAGTTTCAACGTGTTTGACCATTTCCATCCATTGAAAGAAGAGAGAAAAAGGATTTTTCTAGCATGTGTGTGTGATCTTTCTGAGAACATGAAGACATCCTGGTCCAAGGTTTTTCTAGTTAAATTCCCACTTCATGCTGTAAGCTGTTCCTGTAAATTCCCATCCTTTCAATGTAGGAATGCAGTGTTATGAACAAGTTGTATTTCAACTAGCCATGTGGTAATCGAGATTTTACTCCTTCTCTTTCTTAAAGCTTACTTATACTGTTTTTCCAGAGGTTACATGCCTGACTATTAAATTAGCTAATTGTTTTGCAGTGAAATCACATCACAATAGGGCTGTTTGTTAACAGTTAACGGTTAACAAAAGATTTTTCATAATGAATTGACAATGCACTAGTGGAATAACAGTTTTATACTCTTCAGCTCAATTCTCAATGATTTGTACAGAGGCAGGACAGAATTACAGGTGGTCACTAATTCATACTGATTTTTTCTTTTGCTCCCAGGGATGCTGTGTTTTTTGGTTTATATCAATTTGTTGCTTTCTCTTTCTGTTGCTCTTTCTAAGGAAGTTTTCTGCTTTTCTAGGACAACTAAAAGACATTGTACTTTATATGATGGACAACATTCCACTCTCTCAGGAGTATGTCATATTCCAATGGCTGAGCCATTCTGCACCAAAACCAGAGAGGTTAGTGAATTCTGTAATAGTATTAAGAAATGTTGTTTTTATGGCACTTTTTGTGATATATTAGTGTAATTATGCATTCTTAGAATACAGAGGCAATATGCATCTCTTTATCCTGTTTCTCAGATTCCTCCTAAGGAATGTATGCAGAAGCAGTCAATTGGCAACAGATTTTCCCAGTCTTAATAACAGGAGAAAAATCTTTATTTATCAATTAACCAGCCAAGAAAGAAACAAAGTGAACAAAGTAGTTAGAATTAGAAATCAGTTCCCTTTTTTTTTCCTCAATAAAGCTGCACCTATGGTAGAGGCACTCTACATACTTAAATATTTAAATTAGTAGTACTTTAACATTCACAAAAATTGCAGTATTGCGTTTGTGCTGTTGTGCATTGTAGAGGTAAGTGGTGGTGTAGAGTCGAGGTTTAGGATGTTAAGTGTTGAAACAAGCCAAGTGATATTTGCCTTTTATTCTTAGCTGTTGCTCTCAGTTGTGTCACTTCAAGATTTTCAGGCTTAGACTAGAGAGTCTGAAACACTTCTCTATTTTTGAGCACCTTTATAAACTTCTGGGAGGAGTGTATCTGATTAAATATGTCACTTTAGTGTATTCCTAGAGTTGAGGAAAAAGGAAGGTTGAAGATTGAACTGCATATTTTGTGGAATGCTCTGGTCAGTGGCTGCAAGGAGGTACATTCTTCAGAGAAACAAGAGTACTTACAGAATGAGTCATATTCATTTGAGAGGTGTATTCTTGCAATCAAGACAAAGCTGAATTGTGAAGCAGGTGGCACAATCTATACCCAGAGCACATTCAAACATTTGGACTTCTGGGCTATTCTGCTTTTGTCACCAATTTGGTTCAGTGTCATTGTGTGCTATTTTTGCTAATTGGTCACACTGTGGTTTAGAGATAGTCACACTGGGAATCAAGGTGTTCTACAATAAGCTAAAGATATTTTAAGTCTCATGAAGAAACAAGCTACTGCATATTAAATATGTGCATGCTTTTGCCTGTCTTTCACTGAGCAGTAATTTATGCAGAATACTTCGCATTTTTCTTGCAAACAGCCTAGCCACGTGCTCCTACCAAAGATTAGTTGGCATTTAGTCAGTTTCTTCTGTGAGCATGATGTCATGTCCCAGCAGATCCAAGGAGTTTATTAAGAAATGGATTAAAAAGTGTTACCATTTTGGTGATTGGCAGTACTTAATTTTTTAAAAAAACTAAGTACTCATACATAAGACATTTCCTGAGACTGCAGGAAACATATGCCAAGACTAGTTTTCTTTCAGTTGTTAGCTAGATAGAGATGTTATTAGGGTTTTACATTTTTTGAAAAGCCAGCAGAGAAATGTGCCTTTTCAAACAGAGAAAAAACATTTAGGTATTTTCCAGTCACAGACATGTGATCATTATCTCATTAGCCTGTGCATTCTAATCCACCTAAGAGATGTTTTATAGAACATTTGGGTTTTGAGCTCTGTGTGAGACTAAGGAGGAGTCTCTATCCCAATTGAGAGGAATTTCATAGATAAATGCAATAATTATGAAAAAGCCAAAATTATGAATGTAACATATTTAAGGAATTTTGCATCTAAACAGCTGAAACCTTGATATTATATTGCATTTGTACAAATACATTTAAATGATCTGGTTTAGTTCGTTTATGCACTGTAAATTAAATTAGAATCTAAATGGAGTTTATTTTTTTCTCTCAGAAGTTTTGAATAATACAGGGTATCTTGGGTATTGATGCTTTTGGAAACTGAGCTCAACACAACATCTTACAGGTAGTAAAGTTGGAACTTCGTAAAGAGTTTCAGAAAAGTGCTGCTCACATATGGCTTTCTCATGTCAGTTGGCTGTTGATATATTAACAATGTAATTAACTGGCATTCAGCTAAACATATATTCAGAATTAATGCATCAATAAACCAAAATAATCGGTGTGATTAATATTAGATCAACTGACAACACAGAATGAATCACAGAATATTAAGGGGTTATTAAGGACCTTAAAGATTATCTAGTCCCAACTGCCACTGCTATGTGCAGGGACACTTCCCAATAGAGCAAGTTGCTCAAGGCCTTATCCAACCATGCTTTAAACACTCCCAGGGTTGGGGCATCCACAGCCTCCTTGGGCAGCCTTGTCCCACTGTCTTACCACCCTCACGTTAAAAAATTCCTTCCTAATATCTAACCTAAATTTCCCTTCTTTCAATTTGCTCCTGGTATTCCTTGTTTTATCACTACAGTTCCTGAGAAGGAGTCCTTCTCCACCTTCCCTTGTAGAACCCTTCAGATATTGGAAGATTGCTATGAGGTTTCTCGGCAGCCTTCTCTTCTCCAGGCTGAACAGGCTCAACTTTCTTAACCTGTTTCATAGGGGAGGTGCTCCAGTCTTCTTATCAACTTCGCGGCCCTCCTCTGGACTTGTTCCAACAGTTCCATGTCATTCTTACAAGTAAGGACCACGGAACTGGATGCAGGGTTCCAGGTGGGGTCTCAGCAGAGCAGAGGGGCAGCAGCCCCTCCCTTCCCCTCCCTCACTGCGTTGGATCCCATTGGCTTTCTGAGCTGTGAGTGCACATGGCCAGGTCATGTTGAGTTTTTCATCATTCATCACCCCCGTCCTTCTTGGCAGGGCTGCTCTCAATCTCTTCCTCACACCTGTAGGTGTGTCAGGTGTTGCCACAACCCAGATACAGTGCAGACCTGTCTACATGTGTCTGCAGTGGCAGATGTGGGTACTCCAGCTTTATGTTGTTGTGCTGCTACACAAGATCTACTGCTCCGCACAATCCACTGCTCCACGTGCCAGGAAGAAGGCACCCCACAAGGTCACGTAGCACACTTGAGCTTTTGCTGCTTGTTGCATCTGTTTGTGTTGAGTGTAGGCTTCTCATAGTGTTTTGCAGGGAAGCTGCTCCACATGATGTAAGCCACAATGCTAAGAAGTTGCTTCTAGTGATGTCAGACTAGGTTTTTCACTGCTTCTGTGTTATGAAGGTCCCTCCTGGCTAACAACTTTTTTTTTCCTTTTTTGTTTTTTTAATGGCCATTTTAAATAGATGTCATCATAGTTCCTTCACTTTCCTACTCAGGACAGTGATGGGTATCCTAGTCCCATTTACCTAGACTGGCATGCTCTTATTCCTGCTGTATTAACTGGCATTATTCAGGCCAATTACCAAGAGATAAAAGTCAGGATTATTCTGCTGTATATGAGGTTCTTGTAACTAAAAAAACTGATGTATGTCCAGTGTACAGCTCAGCCACTGGCATGGGAAGATGTGGTAATAATTTCTGCACAGATGACCAGAGTGCTCTTTGAAGTATGTGCTTGTAGAGTTTTACTTTCAAAATGTAAATTTCTTACTACTGTTCTCACTGGCTCAGCTCCACCATGTGATATTGTAGCCCACATGTAGTGGAATGCTTTTACCTGCAGCTCTCCCTGCAGTGCAGGCACAGTCTAAATGTGCAAAAATACTCTGTTTCCCAGTCTTCTTGGTCTGCGTTGAAAGCAGTAATCCAACTGATACTAACAAAATCAGATGAGTTCAGGTTCATCCCTCTTGGTAGAAGCATTAATTTCTCTTGTGGAGTGAGGAAGACAAAACTCATCTTTGGTTTTGGACAGCTGTAGTCATATGAAATATGACTACTTTGTATAAATCTAACTTATTTTATGTGCAAGTTTTTAATGGGATGCCAGAGCAGTGCATGAGGGGAATTACTGTCTTTCCTCGACATCGGCGTGTTTTGCAGGTTCTTATTGACACTGCCAAGAAGCTGGGGCTCCAGTGTCATTCCAAGGGGACAATGATCACAATTGAAGGCCCGCGTTTCAGCACTCGAGCAGAAAGCTGTGTGTTTCGCAGCTGGGGAGCTGATGTTATCAACATGACTACGGTGCCTGAAGTGATCCTTGCGAAGGAAGCTGGAATGAGTTATGCTAGTATTGCCATGGCAACAGATTATGACTGCTGGAAGGAACATGAAGAAGCAGTGAGTGAAACCTTTTTCCTCTGGTGTTGTCCTGAGGGATTTGGATAAGAATATATAGGTTTTGATAAGAGATTACATGCTGTACTGTTCTTAATTACAGTACTATCCCCAAGTTTTCTTGATGAATGATTGTGAAAGTTAAAAATAGTCAGTTGTTGTTATCTCATTCATTTTCATAAACCTGCCTAACTACTAGCAAACCTTTTGTTTCTTGTTGTCTGAATCAGGGGGTCTTTGAGTATGAAGCTCATGTGATTTGTCTTCCTGTAATTGGTCTGTGTTTTTTTCTTTTGCAGCTCTGTGCAAAACAGTATATATGCTTTAGTTCTCCTATTTGTTTGCAATACACGAGTATAAACCATACACATAGAGAGGAAAAAACATTTGTGCCATCTAAAAAGACTGATATTCTAAGGGTTCACTTTTACACTTCTGAGATAAATTTATTTGGGTGTTTAAAATGTGTGCCATCAAAATTGGGAGACAGCACTCAGTCGTATTGTATTTCCAGGTTTCAGTGGATAAAGTTTTAAAGACGCTGAAAGGGAATGCAAATAAGGCTACAAGCATATTCCTTACTGCTATACCTCAGATAGGCTCCATGGAATGGACCGACACCCTGCACACTCTGAAAGTAAGTACACAAATGAGGCAGGTGTATGTTACAGGATGTTTTTGCTTAAATCAAAATGTTTCAGAGTAAATGCTTCAAGAAACCAAATTCATTGAAGAAGGGCGGACAGATTCTACACGATTCTTGCACGGTTTGTTGCCAAGATCTAGCTTCAGTTTTGCAAGAAGTTTTGGAAAAGGTTAAAAAATACAGATAGCTATGTATGGTTGATGAAGTGAGACGTCAACCATAAGATGTTCATAAGATACAAATATATGTTGAGTATCCAAATGAAACCCTGATCTTGCATCTTAGCACAAAGGAGAGTCAAGTGGAAGACTGAACCAAACCAAAAACATTATGCTCACTTTAATATATAGAAGAGGAAAAGTCTTAAAAGATATGGGTTTGAAATTATTAGAATTGTGTTTTCCATAGGTTTTAAGTCCAAAATGCATGAAAAAATATGGACAAGAAAAACATTTCAAAATATATTAGTGAGGGAGTTCTTAAGCAGAATTTTTCTTAGACAAGGCTTACTTGTGTTTTTATCACCTGTATTTCACAGGCATACTCGAGATTCATTTGTGGTTATAACAAAGATGAGGAAGCCAATGTTTAAACTGTTTGGATGTCTATCCAGCTTCTCAACAAGTTTTATTTTACTGGGTTGAGATATAGACCAGGAGAGATCATTCATCAAATACTGTCACAAGCAAAACAGGCTCAGCTTCGAGATATTAATTTAATTTATTACTAACAAAATCAGAGGATAATTCCACCCTGGCCCCTATGACTCACATATTTAAGAATTGCTATCCAAATTGCACTCAGCATATAATCCTTAGTTAGAACAACAAAAAACTACTAAACAAAACAGAAGAAAAAGTTCTCTACAGTAAATCTAAGGCATAATCACTACACAGAACCAAAAAGACAAATTACACAAAAAATCCACCCCTATATTTTTCTCTAAAATTACAATACAAATTTCCCATTGTCATTCTACTTAATTTTGTGATTTAATACTTGTTTTGCCCATTATTTCTTCCAATTAATATCCTTATTTCAAAGTGATCATGCTTGCCCACATTCTCCACCAAAAATGTCATGATTTTGACACTGGCCAAACACCAGTGCACCCATGAAAAGTCATTCACTCATTCTCTGCTATAGTCGAGCAGAGGAGAGGGAAAGAGAAAGAAATTTAAAAGCTCATGGGGTGAGATAAAGATTAGGAGAAAACACTCTTAAGGGCAAAACAGACTCAAAACTTTAAAAGGTATAAAGAAAAATTTATTAACAGAATTCAAAAAGGATAATGGGAACTACCTTTAGAACACCTTCCCCCCTCCCCCAGCCACTCTTTCCTTCCCACTGACAGCTCAGGGAGACAAAACATTGGGTTTTTGTCAGTTTGTCACCTCTAAAAATCTTACTTCAGTTCACTTAAGGAGAGGAGTCTCTTGCTATACCATGGGTCCTTCCCATGGGAGACAGTTCTCTGTGAACTCCTCCAACATGGTTCTAATTTTCATGAGTAGCAGT